GCTGGAATTGTTCGCAAGAGATTCAGATTAACAGAAGCTTTTAACACAGGCTGAGTTGTGTGAACATTATCTGGTGTGCTTCTGCTATATATCAAATGGGTGGCTATAGCACCTAAAATTAGATGCTGAGAGGGTTCTCCTCCTCTCTATCAGCCCAAGCGTTGCAGATGCAAAGTGCAGCAGAGTCAGTGGCGGGAGTAGAGGAGAGGGAGTTACGAACTCCCCTGTCACTGTCATCTGTGCAATCTGCTGCTGGCCAGGAGGCCGGGCAGCATCAGCAACCCTGGTGCCAGACTGAGCCCAGCCACATGCTCCCATGCGAGTGAAAATGTTTTTTTTCCCCAGAGCATTATTGTTTGCAATGTTTCTAAAACAGGGAGATTTGTACATGGGGATGCAGGTCTTACGTCTAGTTTGGAGGGAAAACAATATTGGTTGAAATACTGCCTTTATGCTCCACTTCTCTGAATACTTGTGATTTTTAGCCTTGCTTTGTGAGTTTAGCTGTCAATTTAAAGTTCAGCAAGTATTTTGAAAAAAAAATCTGGAAAGTCCTGTGGAAACTGAGCTATTGTTTTTTTGAAGTTCTGACTGGATTTCTGTTTTAACCAATGTGGTGGTTATTCTGGTCAAGCACTGGCCAATTGTTCATGCTCAAGAAGCACAGTGCTAGAAAGTTTTCGGTATGTGGTCAGTCTTCCTCTTCTTTGCTAAACACCAGTGTTTCTAGCTTTCTGAAATTTCAGACAGTAGATGTGCTGGTAATACTGGAATTGGTGTGGTAGCTTTCAAAAGCAATAGCTAAAGTGCAGCTATTAATCACCCTAAAAGCCGCCCTCTGCACAACAGAAACCTGTTTTTAAAAACTTGCTTTAAAAGGAAAAAAATGTATTGTGAGTATTGTTCTGCCTTTAATCCATTGAAGTTTGAAGCAGCTTCTAGAAAGCTAGAATCCCACTGGCTGTCTGCCAAGTTGGGATCAAAATAAGCTGTGCTGAAACAATCAAGAACTTGATTGTTTTAAGATTAAATTTTCTTCTCATCCCTTAGTCTAAAGTTGCAGACAGCTCTATGGATGTCTGAACAAATGAGGACTGGGGAAGGACAGAAAGAGAAACAAGAGAATCAGAAAGCAACGGCTGGTGTTTTTTGCTTCAGTTTGTGAATCTATCTCAGTAGGTTTTTCCTTCACCACTAAGTAAGAATTGTGCTGAAAACTAGTATTCACATACAAATTTGACAGGAAAGGAATGTAACTATTATATTTTTGCAAGTGGGGCTTGTATGACAGTTAATTGTGCTTCTAATGAAAAATAGCAGGTTTTTTGATAGACAGTATTTCGCCCTAAGATAATTTGAACTTCCTATAAGATAAAACAGAATTCAACTGCCTAGTAAAAGATGAATATTCCTAGCTAAAGTTTATTCCATTGTTTATAGTGTCTTGGGAGAGTCTAAGTTATTTTGTCCTGTGTAGAAACGTTTAAATGACTGACCTCCGATTTCACCTTGAAAGTATTACTAGAAAATCGTTGTACTGTTGAGTAGCCACCAGATGGTAGTATGATAGAGGTTATAGAGAAAATATGCACCGGGGGTTTAACTGTAAGCTAAAATCAGGGGAAAGCCAGCAACGATAAGAAGATACTATTTTTGTAGTTTGTTGCATGTATTTGAAAAAACAAGGTGTCATATACAAAATACAAACTGTATAGGTTTTCTTCACAACTGACACTTATGTGTGAGTCAGCATAAGGCAAAAATGTGTAGCCAGACACACCATTCTTCTCACTTTTCAAGTAGAAGAGTACCTTGAGGAGGACATCATCTGGAATCAGCATATGTTTATTAGTATGGATGCTTTTTTATTAAGGTCGTGAAATTGTTATCACAGTTCTGTTGCTTTAGCTACTTAACTAAAGAGCAAACACCAGATTTCTTCAGGGCCCAGAAAGAGGGACTTAACCTATATTTCATCATCTGGTGACATTGACCAACTTACCTGTTCTGATTGCAGCATGTTGCCTTAGATGCAATAGGAAAGTCTGAATTTCAGGGTACAGGGCATGAAAGAACCATCACTTGAACTCATGACAAACCATGAGAGAAAAGCTGAGTGTGTTCAGAAACATCAAAGACTTCTTTGGACCTGTCTGCCTCTGGCCTCTGCCAGAATTGGGTTACTGGCATAGGTGGGCTGCTCCAGCTCACCAAATTTTCCTTGCCCTCTTTCCTGAGGTTTTGAGACTCAGTGCTGCAACTTGTACACTAATGAACTGAACTAAATATAAGTTATGTAAAGTGTAATAGTGTAAAAAAAAAAATTAAGAATATTCCTGTGAGTATATAGACACTTTCCAGCTATTTGCTTTCAGTTTGTGATCACCTCTCCTGCCCCATTTCTTTCTGCAAAAAAGTACTTCAGGCATCCAGAGTGGTCCAGAGAGCTTCACAGAACTTCATCTAGACTTCATGAAAGAGATAGAAGAACTTGCAAGGGGATTTATTGAGACCACAGAGAAAACTATGGCTTTAGAAAAGATGTGGGAGGAAAACTCAAAGTTCTCAGGTAAGCTGTAATGTTTCTAATAATTAATTCATTTCTCTATCAGGTAGAGATAACCATCAAACAAAAGAACAGTCTTATCTTAAAATGAACAAACTAAAATTTTAGCTGATTTGAAAAAATCCACTTTTATGATTGCTATTATTGTGGCCATCACAAAATTATCAGAAAAAGTTGGCCTTCTAAACCTGTGACCTTGTTTTACTAGTTGACAGTTAACAAAATATTGTGAGGGGAAAGGTTTAAAGGTAAGGATTAATAATCTGAGTACATGGTTACTTGGTCTAACATGCATTCAAAATTAATTTATCAGGATTTAAGTTTTTCTCCCCAGATTTTTCTGTTGTGCTAGAGAGTATAGGAAAGGAAAACCTCAGTAGCTCTCACCTGGTGACCCTGCTGGCAAACAAGTCCATCTCACACTAAAATGGTGAGACTGGAAACACCAAGTTCTGATACTCCTGCTCTGTTGCTACTGATACTATGCAGCCTTGCTGCTGTAGCAGGCGGACATTTAAGACCTACTACTACCCTGCCCTTCTGGCTGAATTTGCAAGCAAAAAGATTTAGAGGAAACAGCCATTTTCATGCCTGGCTGTCTGGGAGCTAGCACGTTCATCTAGTGTTGATGCGATGATTTTGCCTTACTGGAAAGTGTATGGTAAGCAATTTCTTTTAAACTGTTTTTGTGATAATAGTATAGTATTGCAAAGCACAGAAAATCAAATGGATCATTATCTTTCTAAGGTATTAGTTGTTTCACATGCCTTTTTTCCTGTAGGAATGCTCTTTGTGTACTACTTGCTATTGCTTATAAAATTGATTCTTCTGAAGTTAATAATGCCTCTCTGTAAAGAAAAATATTTGATTTTACAGGGCTTCGTAACATCAACGCTGTTATTACTGTAAGTATTTTTACAGTCCATTTCTAAATTACATTTCTGCATTTTGAGGCATCTTTATTATAATGGTTAGAAATTTGCATGCTGTCATATTTTAGTAAACTATCTTTAAAAAACACTAGTATGCTGTTGAAGGAAAAAATGATGTCTTGTAAATTTGATAGAGGTCCAGTGGTTTCTAAGATTACTGTTTTAAACTAGTCTAGGTTGTTAGTAGCTAAAATTCACAGCTATCTGAAGGTTTGTTGTTCATTAGGAGAAATCTAAAAATGAATCTCCCAGACCCTATGTAGTTGTATAAAATCATATTACAAAATGTCTTGCAAGGAACTCGTGTACTTATTTACAAAGAAAACTAAACAAAAAAAAACCCGAAACAAAAAAAAACAACCCAAAACTTATAAAAGTACTGCAGTGAGATTGAAATGAGGATTGTGCTTGGATGAGATTACTTTGAATTCAGATTTGTGATCCAGTAATCATGACAAGCAGACTTAAGTGAGGGTGAAGGAAGACATGTTTGCAAGATGCAGCGTAATTCCTTTTAGAATCAATTTGGTAATTTTTGTGGAATGAGTTCGGTCTTTGTGCTGTCCCTATTACATTAATTTTTCACCCTTGCAATCGCTAAAAAAAGAGGAAGGCTGAACAGGCACAGTAGTAGATCTCCATTACTGTCAATTTTGTACCTTTCACAGCTCACCAGTTTCACTTTAAAAATATTTCAAAATGCTTTTTTTCCATATGTGATTGATTGTAACTGCTACTTCATGAAACATAGATTTCCAATTTATAACTTGAAATTAGATGGCATTTTTATACTAACATTTTTAAATTGCTCATTAGGTACTTCAGTGAAATAAACTGTATCAATATGAAATTTAACTTCTGGAATGGAATATAAAATATAAAGAATGTATTTATCAACATTAAGAAAATATTTAGTTGAAATAGACTATTATTATTAGTAACAGAGTCTGTATACACAATCTTCTTTTTGCGTAAGTGATGCTTATGTTACCATGACCCAAAAGAGCACTAGAGACATTAAAAGAAACAAAGACTGCATAATAAACAACTATGATAGATCCTATATTTTGTATAGGTGTCTCATAGTGTAGTCCTATAAAAGAAGTGGTTTTACCCCAGTCTATATTTAAAGAGCCATTCATTATTATTTGACACCCCTACACAACCCCCAAGGAGCTGTGAGACAAGGGTGGCATGTCCCTGACCGTCCCCTGGTCTTTATATCCTAGACTTAGAAATTTAATGCAGGGCTAAAGAGCTCCTTATGTTTGAGATCTCAGAGATGATCCTTCTCTTTGGCAGTTACACTTCCTGGCAGAAAGAGATGGCTTAGCTATTTTCCCCACACAAGCTCAAAGCTAGACCTATGTTTCCACTTGAGAAAAGAAACAAAATTTAAATAATTTAAAATTCAAGAGGGCAGGGGTAGGGGAAGTAAGATACCTGCTATTTTTTTTTCCATTGATGGAAGTGTTGCATATAAATGTTTTCTTTGCATAAAGATGGATTCGAATGAAGTGGAGGAAGTGATTTCTACAGCAGAAAACCTGTACAAACAGCCATATTTCTGGAACCTTCTGCATTCACTCCCTCATCTTGAATGGAACATCTTTTATACAGAAGATGGGTTAGCTGCCCTAGCACAGTTTCTAGAAGTTATTCAAAAGTAAGTACTTCTGCATGCTTGCAGGTGCTGTTTTAATCTTACCTGCAATTCTTGTTCTCTCTGGCTATTTAATAAAGTGAATATCCTTATTGGTGTAAAGAGACTGAAATCTTCTTCCATTTACCAGATCCTGATTTTATAGAGGTGTGATACGAGTTTTCAGCTATTCTGATTCCTGCATAACTGTATTTTTCATCTCTGTCCAGCTCAGCAGAGATTCCCCAGGATTCTCCAAGAAGTAGCTTCATCTTACCAACGGTTGAAATTAGCCTGTCACACAACATGGCTTTGAACCTCGTAATGTTCTTTGGGACTCTTTGAAAGACAGAATATTTACATATGAATATAAGCAAATTGTAGTTAGGATTCTAATCAACTTAATAGGTGCGTAGCACTTGGTCAATATTGGGGAAAATTGCTCCATTTTGTTTCTCAAGCCTCTTGCTATCAAAATAGTTTTGGCTGTTCTTACGTAAGAAATGAAGCAGCAAGAAAACCCCACAGGAACTATATTCTGAATATGAAAGTTTTCTACCTCAGGCAAAGGACAGCTGGATTCAGAGGAAGACCTGGTATCAAAAGCACAGACTAAGACAAGTATCTACAGGAATTTTCAGTAAAATAAGGGAATTGTTAGGAAAAAGTAAAAAATGTATTTGCCAGAGTAGGTAGTTGGTTGTAATAGGTGGATAGGTGATTGTCATTGAAGTAAATTAATGTATTTATAAGGCTAGAGGAGGCCACTGCACCTGATAGTCTATGCAAGACTGGCCGTGAACTTTAGCAGCCTTACCCCATGTGGAAGCAGGGGCCCAAAGACTTTGAATGGGAAATTACTGTGCTGATTTTGTCACCCTTTACCATCCCACTGTTTTCTTTCCTAATAAAAAAAATATGACAGATATAATGGCATAATTTTTTTTTTTTGAACTGGGAAAACGTCTTTTTTGATTACAATGTGGACTGCAGCTGTTGGGGCTGGATTCCCCCCATCCCCTTTATGCATAAGTCATTTGTAACCTTATTCCAGCTTGTTCTCTGACCTATTAACATGCAAAGCTGTATTAGTTGTGCTTGTAGTGATTATATCACAAAAGCAGAAACCTTTTCTGAAAGGTTTGCACACTCTGAGTCTGAGTGTTCCTGAGGTAAGAGAGGAATTTGATTGAAAGTAGATGATTATTGTCTCCTTCAGCAGCAGCAAGGCTGCACTGGCTGGGGGGCTGGGTCAAGTTATTCTGTTAATATAATCTCAGCAGCGATTTCTCTACCCTGAGCCTATAGCACAGACAGAGCGAGAAGGGGACAAAAGCAGAGGATGTTCATGGTTATGGTGTTTGCCTTCCCATGTAACTGTTCTGCAGGCCGACACCCCGCTTTCCAGGAAGTGGCTGGGCATCTGCCTGTTGATGGGAAGTAGTGAATAAACGCCTTGTTTTGCTTTGCTTGCATTGCACAACTTTTGCTTCATCTATGTGGTGGCTTAACCCCAGCCAGCAATTAAACCCCATACAGCCATTCAATCACTCCTCCCTGGTGGGACAGAGGAGAGAACCAGCAGGGTAAGAGTGAGAAAACTCGTGGTGTGAGATAAAGACAGTTTAACAGGTAAAGCAAAAGCTGATTACACAAGCAAAGCAAACCACAGTATTCGTTCACTACTTGCCATCAGCAGGCAGGTGTTCAGCCATCTCCAGGAAAGCAGGGCTCCATCATGCGTAATGGTTACTCAGGCAGACAAATGCTGTCACTCCAAATGTCGTCCCCCCCCCTTCCGGCTTCTCCCTGCTTTATATGCTGAGCATGACATCATATGGTATGGAACATCCCTTTGGTCTGTTGGGGTCAGCTGCTGCATCTGTGTCCCCTCCCAGCCTACTTGCTGGTGGGGTGACGTGAGGAGCAGAAAAGGCTTTGACTCTATGCAAGCACTGCTCAGCAATAACTAAAACATCCTTGTATTATCAACACTGTTTTCAGCACAAATCCAAAAATAGCCCCATACTAGCTACTATGAAGAAAACTAACTCTATCCCAACCAGAACAACATATTAAATTGTCTTTATTTTGATCCATGAGTCTTCTCACTTTCCTTCTATTTTCTTCCTGTCCCAGGGGAGCAGGGAGTGAATGAGCAGCTGTGTAGGTGCTTGGCTGGCAGTTGGGGGTCAATGCACAAGTGGTTAGTAGGAGGAGACTCAGATGTTTACAGTTGAGTTTTGGTTGTTTTTAAGACTTTGGTGCCCTTCAATGGCCAAATTTGCCATAATTACTGCAATTTGGAAAGCAAACTACAAAAACCAATGTTCACTTCTTTACTAGCTTCACATTACTAACACATTTCTAAAGGTCCTAGCTCAGGCAGATTTCAGTCATCAGAAAGGATCCTAAATTTATAATGTCTCCCACTTCCTGGGCTCTACTGTCTTGGCTGTGTCTCTCAAGAGGTACGGGTAACCTGCCTAGTGGGTGAGGAAAAGGCTGTGAATGTTGTCTACCTGGACTTTAGTAAGGTCTATGACACTGTTCCCCACAGCATCCTCATGGAGGAACTAGCTGCTCGTGGTTTGGATAGGTGTACTCTTCACTGGATAAAGAACTAGCTGAATGGCTGAGCGCAGAGAGTGGTGGTGAATGGAGTTAAATCGAGCTGGCGACCAGACATGAGTGGTGTTCCCCAGGGTTCAGTTTTGGGTCCAGTCTTTTTTAATATCTTTATCAATGATCTGGATGAGGGGATTGAGTGCTCCCTCAGTAAGTTTGCAGATGACACCAATTTGGGCAGGAGTGTTGATCTGCTCAAGGGTAGGAAGGCTCTGCAGAGAGATCTGGACAGGCTCAATTGATGGGCCGAGGCCAGGTTTATGAGGTTCAACAAGGCCAAATGCCAGGTCCTGCACTTAGGTCATAACAACTCCATGCATAGGGGTTGTTATGATCATGCAGGTAAAGGACCTGGGGGTGCTGGTCGACAGCCGGCTGAACAGGAGCCAGCAGGGTGCCCAGGTGGCCAAGACGACCAACAGCATCCTGGCTTGTATCAGGAATAGTGTGGCCAGCAGGAGCAGGGAGGTGATCGTGCCCCTGTACTAAGCACTTGGTGAGGCCGCACCTCAAATACTGTGTTCAGTTTTGGTCCCCTCACTTCAAGCAAGACATTGAGGGGCTGGAGCCTGTCCAGAGAAGGGCAACGAAGCTGGTGAGGGGTTTAGAGAACAAGTCTTATGAGGAGGGGCTGAGGGAACTGGGCCTGTTTAGTCTGGAGAAGAGGAGGCTGAGGGGGGACCTTCTTGCTCTCTGCCACTCTCTGAAAGGAGGGTGTAGGGATGTGGGTGTTGATCGCTTCTCCCAAAAAACCCACGAGAGGATGAGAAGAAATAACCTCAAGTTGTGTCGGGGGAGATTTAGATTGGATATTTGGAAAATTTATTTACTGAAAGAGTGGTCAGGCATTGGACCAGGCTGCCCAGGGAAGTGGTGGAGTCCCCATCCCTGGAGGTGTTTAAAAAACGTGTAGATGTGGCACTTGGGGACATGGTTTAGTAAGTGTGGTGGTATTGGGTTGACGGTTGGACTGGATGATCTTAGAGGTCTTTTACAACCTATGATTTTATGATTACTAGAAACTTTTCACACCTACATGTAGAAGGTAAATAGTATTGGGTTTTTTTTATGTATTTTTTTTTCTCCTTTTACATGTGTTGGAAACTTCTGATCCACTCTAACAAAACTGAATTCTTATTTTCCTAATAACAAATAAATACTCTACAGGAAATAACTGGTAAACCTGATGTAAACTTGAAGTAGTAAATTACAGCTACATTAAAAAAGAAGTTTGTTTTACAGCTAAAGTGACGGACTGGGACTTGTAAGAAATTCAGGAGATAGATATGTTTTTATCAATGCGTTCTCTAATGTGCTTTGTTTAATTTCTTGTGAGAATAAATGTTCTGTTGTTTTAAAGTCCCTTTTTTCTCTGCAAATTGGGTGGAAGTAAAATAGAAGTATTCTGTGTCCACCCTGCCTTGTTGAGAGGAGAACTGTGAGAACTCATGTCATGGATTTGCTCTCACTTTTACTCTCGTTTTTAACTCTTTTTCTCTCTTTTCTTTCTTTCTTTTTTTTTTTTTTGTTTAAGAGGATACTGGTCCTCTTAGGAGACATTTCTGTAATGAAAATTGAGTGAAACTCTAACTGTTAAATATCAACTTGTTTTTTTTAATGAAAAGTATGATTGACAAAACATCAGTTTTTCAACAATAAAGAAAATGTTTTAATATTGAATTGCTTGAAGTACATCTTTTCCACCAAGCTCTTCTAATTTTTCTGAGTTTATAGAGACCTTCATTTTTGTTTTATTTTTCACTTTCAGTACATTAGTGTCATTGAAGGATTTAGCTATGATGCCATTGGGCAAAAGTTTCTATGAAGTGGTAAAAACAGCACTGAATTTGACTGTTGCATCAGTACAGGATAGGCGCTTAGAAGGTAAGGAGTTTGCCTCAGATTTCTTTTTTTAATTCACTACGAGCATGCTGGCAGTATGGAATATCAGTAACTGTCTGAACTTCTGCTTAATTCCTAACATAAAATGTCTAAGAATTGAACCATATTGTTGTAGTGCTAACCCATTTCTTTATTGATCTGTTTTTTAAATACTAATAACTACATTTCATCACGTTCTGGCAACTATTTGATGAACAATGCGTGTTGGTCTAATATATTGTGTTTAGAATGATCTTCCAGGGGTGAATTTTGGAGATACTAAATTGCTGCAAAGTGTTATTTCTTCCATTTGATAGAGGGATAGCCTCTTGTTTTGGATATGCATGTTAAGCATTATGACTATTTTACTTTAAGCTTCATTCTTCTGTTATCATAAATTCTTAGCTGAAGGGCTACATTTCCCCATTTGCTGCTTGAGTATGGGAGATGAGTTTAACTCGAAAAGGTAGGCTTGCCTCAGGACAACTCCTCAGGAAAAGGTCAGGAACAAGTTTCATTGGCAAACTGTTGGATAACACACAATTAAATTCTAAGTGCAGCTATCCGCTCTTCAGGCTAAGAATTATAGGTGGTCTAACTCCCACTTCAGCTGTCAAAACGGAGACTGAAGTGGTACAAAGGTGATAAGCTTGCACAGAGGGTGAGCTTGAATTCCCTGGGTCTTCTGGTGTTCTCCCTCTTAGCAATGATTCATATCCAGCCCATACACACACATTTGCATGACTACGTGCAGAATTAGATGCACAATTCAGAATGGCACCCTGCTGGAGCTGCTCGTGATCACTGTGCATCTGACCGTTATCCTATCAGCTGTTGGAATACCACCAAATTAACTGACCTTACCATACCACATAGCTAATGCAGTCATGGATTTTACCCTAGTGAAATTTGTGTTCAGGTGCACACTTTTTATTTTTTTTCCAACAAGCTGGAAATGTGGTGCTTGGATCTCATCAACTATGAATCATCATGAAACAAAATGAAAAAAAAAAGCAGGAATAACAGAATGTTTTGGTCTTTCAGGTTTGCAGTCTAATCTTTCTCTTGGGGATGTTTTGTGGAATCTGCATGCTGTGAGAGCAGAACTTGAATCCAGGTTTGGTTTTGATGATCTTCGTGTCGAGAAGCTGCCAAGTTATACAGCACAATTAACAAAGGTAAATCACTTGAGAATTTCAGTGTGCCTCCCTTTCATCTCTGTTTTTATTCCTACCCTGGAGGGATTTTTCATGTCTTACAGAAGCTATAGTCATAGACTCATTAAGCATCTACAAGACTGCTAAATATCCTGCCTTCATTGCCATCAAACTAAATGTATTTAGCTTCAGCTGAAATTTCTGCACTTGAAGATGTTAATAGGTGTAGCTGTGTACATTAATGAAATTATTCTTCTCTGAAATCACCACTGGTTACGACAAAGTCCTGAGTTTATCAGCCAATCCTGCAGAGAATTCTGGGATTTGCTCCACTAAGCTTTTAAACTAGATTCTAGATTTCAAACTGCCTGGATTTATTTGGCTGGTAGCATTTTTCATCCAGTTTGCTGGACAAAGAATACCTGTTTGTTCTGTGTGTAAATGAAGGCACAGCAAGAGTTCTTTCTTCTCAGTTGTGCAGTCCTGGTATGAATATGCTTGACTGATGAGTTGTCTCAGTAGGGCTATTCAGATATACTGGCAAAACATCAAATTTTGAAGAAAATCTCTTTTCTCAGGTGGGACTTTCTAACCTTTCTTGTAGACCGAAGTGGTCTGTTGTGATGGTCTGGTTTGAACTGCAGAAAACTTGAAACATCTTTTGAATTTCTACTAAAGTCCACAGTTTTTGAATAGAAGATGCTGGTATTTATCTGAAATGCTCTTTGCCAGGTACAGTCTAGAGTTGTACTCCAGAAGAACTCATTATAAAAATACCTGATTTACACAAAGGGATAAATTATGAAAAAGCTTGACTGCTGAACAGCCTTTTAATGAAATATCAGTGATGGCCAGTTTGATCAAATGAACTGAATTTGACTGCAGCCAGTTAGCTATTGTAGGCTGTGTAATTCCAGGCAATTCACTTGCTAGCTGTTTATACACTAAACTACTATCTTGATATTGTGTGCTTGTATTAGGGCATTGAAGATCCTCAAAAAGTATGAAGAAAATAAAAAAGGAAGCCTGGACGATGTCTGTTCTGAGTACTTCAATTCTGCATGTAATGCCGCAGCTGGTTTGGTGTCAAAACATCTTAAAAATTTTAATGAAATGTCCAGTCACAGTTGAAAGGTTTAGGATGTATAAAGTATCTCAAAGACATTAGTAGGGAGAAGTAAAATGTGCTTAATTATTTTTGTATGCTTGAATAAAATTTATATGACTGGGAAAAATAAATCAACACAGAATTTGGAAGTAAGGCGGTGAGGAAAAAATTCTGGCCTTTTGGCCACACTGCTGAAACCTGCCATCTTCAGTTTAAAGCTAGTTTGCTGTATGTAATCATTGGTTGAGAGGTACCATTGTACTGAATGCTTTTTGCGTCAGTAGTTTTTATACTTGTGAAGTTGCTTTGATACAGTTATTCTAGGGTAGGTGTACAGTGTCATTGTCAAGTTAGTTCAGCATCAGCCTGCAAATGGCTGTAGAAGTAGCAACACTGGTGCAGCTACACAGTGAAAATTCCTTTCTATACACATATCACCATTCTGCCTGATCTATGAGAACCCTGACAGGGCCACTGGTATTTTATACCGCACTCTGCATGCATGTGGAGTACTTTGAAGTACATGCCCCAGAATATGAAGCTGGATTAAATGGGCTTTGTTCTCACTGCAGGAGGCTATGTGATATTCTTTTTTCACCAGATAAGTGAGTTCATAACAGAGATAACAGCAGCTCTTTTGAGATGCTCATCAATTTCTTATGTGCCTGCCAGATTCCCACAGGAGAGACACTGGAGCAGTTTGTGTGCTCGGCTCTGTCCAGTGTGCCAGAAGATGAAGCAAACAAAGAGAATAATGAAGAGGGCTGTATTTCTGCATTGCACGAGGCCAAACTGTATTTTGTTCATGCTGTCACCAAGCTTAGACTCCATGTGCAGGTACACTTTAATAAGTTAATCGATTAAATTCCTAATTTTTGCATGTAGGCTGTCAACAGTAACTCAGTTAAAAGACCTGAGTTAGCTATTAAATGTTATTGTCATGAACATTTTTCATCTTGCTAACAAGACAAAGTAATGCTTATAAAGAGTCGTTACAGTGGAATTATAATCTATCACAATGTATCCACTTAAACAGATTTTCTCATTAATTCAAATACAGGTTTGAAATCTAATAGGGAGTATATTGAAATATAGTGCACTGCAGAGGCCTGACAGAAGGAAAACCCATTTACTGTCCCACCTGAGACTGAATTTTGGGCAAAACTGAAAGCAGACTACAGGCCACCACTGATATAGTATATGACTTATTTATTTTTAATTCCCCTCCACTATCCCTGGCGCTGAAGCATGTTGAAGGGAATGAGAGTAAATCTCCAGTATGTAATTTTAAAATTCTGCTCTGGCAGAACACCTTGGCATATAGTCTCTATGATGACATCTGTGTAGTTGTGTGGAGAAAAGGGTAAACCATTCAGATGTTTCCTGAGAAGAACACTTACCTAGGTGCCTTAACTCTGGTGTTTGTTTTTCCAAAGAAATATGTTTTTTTTCCATTAAAAAATATCAGCTATGTATCAAGCTGCTCTGGAAATGTTTGCAATAACATCTACAGAAAACATATAGAGCTTCTCATGTGTTTCCTCAAAAATGTAGTCTTTGATTTCTCTTGATAAAGGTTTCACTGATGTTTGGTGACTTGAAGTAATAATTTAATGTGATTGCTGGATTTAATGTACTAATTCCCATTGTAGCCATAGGAAAATCCAGTAATAATTTCAGCCGTGACTTTAAAACTCTTTGCAAGGGCTGACATTCTTATAATGGCAGCTTGAAGTACTGTAAATTGCTGGCCATTGAGAATACCCTTGGTGAACAGGACATCGCTATTCTATTCATCTAGTAAAAATTTGTTATAACCCCTTGGCATTAAAGAAACATAATGGTGGAGGAAAGGGGAGCGGTCAGTAGGTTTGACCAGGCCTTGCTATGCCTTATTCTAGGCTACACAATGGGAGCATGCAGGCTCCTTCTCCATCTTTGTCTAATGGGACCCCAGAAATCTTGCTTTCCATCACGTTGGTAGTGCAGGCAGAAGTCCTGCAGGGGAAAGCAAGCCTGAGTAATTGATTGTGGAGGTCTACTTTTGGTTGTGTTCAGTCTCAGGCCATCTTTTTACCATTCCTGGGTCACTGGGCAAGGACAGCACATCATAAATATTGGTTCTCTATAAGAGGTAGCGTGTTATACTGCATACTTGCAGTTCAGTCCAAACTGTATTGAAAATCAGTCTTTGTGAGGCAGTCATTTCAGACTCTAGATACACTTGTAGGGGGAAATTTTGATATCATTGTTAATTGTGGGGTTTTTTTGTTAAAGATGTGCAAATTATGTTTATTGTCTAAATAATAAAGCTTTGATTCTCTAACAAAGTGCATTCTGTTTTGCATTCAATCTGCTAGGTATTTGAGCAATGGTTCAGCAACCTGAAAGAATCATAGCTGATTTAGCATGTCAGTTTCTAGATGACAGGGAAGCAAGGAAACTTTTGTCAGAGATAAATACTCTGATCCAGGAATTGAATGAGAAATCAGAACCCTACTTTTCAGAAGGATATGCTGCAGCTCATGATCTGTAAGTCATACTTATGATTTTGTAACTTGTCGTATAAAGTTCAGATCAACTTGAATATTTATTTTCACATTACATTTAATTTATTTCTGTTTTTTGTCTGTTTTGTGTTTGTATTTTTTAGTTTGTACTTCAAAACCTTGTATACAGTCAAATAATTGTGCTGATGCATACACATTCTGAAAAATAAAGTAAATCTTTGTTTCAGAAAGTACATGATCAGGACTCGTCGGAATCAGCAGTTGTGTATAATTAAGCATTTTAAACTAGGACCTGAATTCTTTATCTTGTTCTGCAAACAAAGTCTAATTCCCACAAATAGTTGCTGTGACTCAGTAATGCTTCTCACAGATGTATGCTATAGAATCAATCTACTTATGTACAGTAAGTTCAGTGCATCTGGAATATTTTGGATTTTTATTACAGGAGTCATACTCATGTTAATTTATGCAGGGGATCTTGGAACAGAAGCCTACTATGGAGAACAGAAATACAATGTAATGTTATGTGTCTATATATAAATGTAGTGTCCAATCTTATCTAGGGCATTCTGAGGCTAAGATTTCTTTTAATGTTTTTGAACTTTTCTTAGAGTTTTAAGTTCCCCGTTCGGCTCATCACTTAATGCAAATGTAAGCAGTTTATGTGAAGTGATGGCTATATATTCCGTACTCTTTCAGAATTACGTATTTTGTTGAAGCTGTGCAAATCTTCCTGTACAGTAGAGTTATTCTTTTAGCAGTTGGTCACTAATCTAGTAGAAATCTATTTTGTTGCAACTTTGGAAATGCCTTCAATTCCCATTTCAGGACAAGTGCAAGTACAAACTTCTAAAGATTAACTGTGCTTTAATTTCAGGTATTCTGATTCACAGTATGTGTTTTAATAATTATCAAGACAATAGTTCTGGATGATTTATATAAAATAAAGTGATTTTACTGTTTATCTATATATATAAAAAAGGACTTGTTATGAATAATCTTGAAAGGTTCTACACAGGACTTAAAAGTTGTAGACACAGGGTGTTAATGTTTGTCAGATTTGGCAACGCCTCATGAAATGTCTATGGTAGCGTGCAGGAACTGATAATTCTCTCTGTCTAACTACACATTGGATGACCTGCATCACTTCTGCGAGTGACAATGTTGGCCTCATCTTGGCCTTGCTTGTAATAGCTCTACTTATTCGTATTAAAAACTGTCCATCAGGTGAGGTATGATCCATGTTATACAAATCAACATCTGAGGATAAATCTGAAAGATACAAAGTGCTCTCATGCAGCACACCCCCAAGTGGCAAGTGATCAGGTAATGTCTTTGGTTTTGGATTTGTTGCTTTTTTAACAAACTCTTAAAATGGACACAGGCCTCTTTCTATTTCCAAACAAATCTGTTTGAGAAGAGACACAAAAAAATGAAAAAAGTATTTCTTAAGTGGATGAACTGATACAGGTTTACGAACATGCATATAACTCATGCATTTAAGGTAACAATCACTGGTAGAACAACCTCTACCTCCTTTTCCCACCTTTGAGTGTTCAGAGCATATTTTTTTAGTACAGTAAGTAGCCTGGTAGAAAATGAACTCTTTCATGAGAAACTTATGGTTTATTTTTTTCTTTTCCCTGCAAAGGTGAGTGTGTGTAAATCTTCCCTAACATTAATGGTTTTGACCTTCAGGTAATTTAGTCTGAAAAGAAGTAGACTTGTCCATGAAAACAAGTTGTGTTTCTCACCTGGGAGACTGCTCAGCTAATGCTGAAAGTCAGAGGGGTTCTTTTGTTTTATTTTTGCTGTTGTTTCCTTAGTTTGCTAAGGTTTTTGTCAAATCTGTGATCTACTGTTGAGAGACACTGGAGTCAAATTGTTCAATAATTTAGTAGTACGTTTTGGCATTTCTTTCTTTTATAAAAAAGAAAACTGCTATTCTGCTGCTGTTGTAAGAAACTATAGAGTAAATGGTATAGTGACTGCACAACAAAAAAAATTCCATAATTTTTCAGCAACTTTACCTCTTTGTTTGTAGTACACAGTGTTTCTGTGCTCTACCTCGTTTGACTGCAGAATCCTGCACCTGGAGGGAATGCAGTCTATACTTCAGAGTGTACCTCGGTGGCCTGTTACGAAGAGATTGCTTCTGGTAGATGGAGTTATGAGGAATGTAATAGCACATTATTTATACTTCACTGAAGGTAAAGCTGCGTGGTGGTTACTCGTTACTAGCACTTAAATGACTTCCACAGAATCACATGGGAAATGGGTAACATTCTACTTCTAATAAAGCATTTAGGCTCTGTAATACATGCCACAATTATTTACAGCAGTTTTTGAGTTCCTAGAATTTTGTTTTCCTTAGTGATGATAGAACACAACATAATACCTCTTTTCACTACTTGTGTCAGGAACAAACAGTTTCCTTAGGCATCTTATACAAAGTTCTATGCTGCTGTGGCTGCTGTTAAAAGTTCTAACTCAAGAAAAAGAGCCTGCTTAATAAAAATAAAAATTATCAATGCCTGAGAAATTTCGGACACCATCAGCCATGTGTATATGTGAAAAAGAAGTCTTGGGTTTAGGTTTAGATGCAGCTTGATTTTCTGACTGGTCATTGCAAGTGAGGCAAGACATTGGTTGGACATAAGGATTTTCTGATTCCTTTAAGTAAGGATTTGATTGAGGTCTGTGAAGCACAGAGGCAGCTTGCTTCTTTCTCTGGGGGCTATCTTTTTGGACACAAAGCTAGGCTGATGGTGAAGGCAGTGGAAGATGCCATTCCAAGAAGAGAGGGGACTGTATTGAGGAACTCGGGGCAAGTGGAGGTGTGTTTTACAAGAAGTTGGGGAACTGGATCTGTCTTCAGTAGTTTGAATAAGATGAACTAACTCCCATGAAGTTCTTGTAAATAAGTCTGTTCAGCAATCATGACTTTCAGATTTGGAATATATTTATAATATTAAATGGTGTGCTAGGACTCAGATTGCATGGTGTTCAGCATCCTGACACCCAGGAGCTGGTTGGCAATAGAATCATATAAGGTCCACACAGATATGGATGTAAAAAAAAAAAAAAGGGAAAAAAGAACAAGATATCTTTGTGATATTCTCCACCTTTTAGTGGAGACCTGAAATACTGTAATATGTCTATATATTGGAAGAAGAGTTGTATTACTAAATTGTTACTGGGTATGTGCAAAACAATTTGATCCTTAATAGTCTTAAATTACTTGATAATTGCATATGACTTCAGAGTAAAGAATAAACAATTGACAGTACAAATTTTGTCCAAGATGCCACTGAAATTATGCAATTTTGTCCTTGATTTCTAGCTGAGATGTCTTCAGATTACAAATAAAAACCTCTTGTTTGAAGATCACTGTTGGAAATTAACACAGACTCTGATACAAGTTTTGTGTATTTTGGTACTGTGCATTATTACTAGGAGTAAAGGTTGTGCAGGTCCCATTACAGTATCAGTGATCACAGCAAAGCCCACTTTCCTTGGGTTATGTTGTGTGACACGTGTATGCTTCTTGCCTCCAATGGCGTTATAGCTGATTTCTCTGGGTATTTAGCGAGCAGTTCTCTTGTTGATACACAAAAGAATGTTACAAGCCAATATACCCTTTAGCTGTATTGTCTAACTAAACTGAACTGTAAAGTCTGTTTTAGCCTCTAAAAATGAACAAGGACCAAGTCCATAGCAGGGAGCAGATGTCATGAGAAAACAAGTACTCTTTCAACATAAATTTCTGAAGGCACACTTTTAGGACTTTTAATATTAAAAGGTTGCTGATTGTTTATCTTCTCCATTGATAAGTTCATTGGACCAAAAAGTGTCACTTTTGTCTTGTGTGTTTTGTTTCATAGCACATGGTCTCATGGAATCAATACTGCTAGTTGTATTACTGAATCCGGATTTACTTGTACACCCAAACCTGCAAGACACTGCGAACTTCAGGATACTTTTTGTAGTCTCCTTTTTAGGATGGGTTGACTTGAAGTGTGCTAGCCAACTTTGCCTCTATACTGTCTATCAATATACCTTCCTTCATGATGGTGGAGTTATACTGATTTACTACAGCTGGGCATTTGCCTTGTCAACTTATGCGGTAAAATGCTAGCCTCTATCCACATGAAGGAGTACAGAGGAAGAGGGGCAAGTGGGAGAAGCCAAATGATACCCTGTCCTGGATCTTCCAAGGCCAGGTTGCCTTACAGGCTGAGGAGACTACTGCTTAGGGGTATGGGACTTATTACAGGAAGCAGGGAAAGAACGTTTTGGGATTGCACAAGACTTAGTATGGGAGGTGTGGAAGAGGAACCAAAGGCAGGGAGAGGAAGTGATCTCGGTGGTTTGGGGAGGAACAAGTATGGGAAAATAGAAATAGGGTTACAAAAGGGGCTGCTCGCATATAGACAGGCTGCTTGGTCAATTTGCTTGCCTGGCCATGCCCCACACCTGACCATTGCAAGCTGTCCTGCCTTCTCATTAAACACCATTCCTGACTTTTCCTGGGTGAGGACTCTATTCTGTGTGCAAGTGTGTGTATGGGGGTCTGCGTGCAGCAACTGAGGTTGGAACAGGGGACATATAGGGGCCCATAGAAACAACTGGAAGGACTGGAGTGAGTGAAATCAAGTGCCAGCAAATGGGGTGGGACCTGTATGTCCATGCTGCCAGAAACTAGAGTGAGGGTGGCCATATTAGTGTGTGGTCTCTAGTAAATATCAGGCTGGACTAGGTGGCCTGGGAGATGGGAGTGTGTGCACTTCTTTGCCAGTGAGGAGGGGTCAGCTATGGAAGGAACCAGGAAGTCCAGGCCAACACCAGAGAGACCATGATGTCTGGGGGTTGCCTGAGAGACCTGTTTGTGTAGCTCTTGTGTGGCAGCTGGGGAGAGCTGAGGGACCAGGACCTACTGGTTTGGATGACTGCTGCTAGATGGACTAAGCGTTCAAAAGCAGTTATTGCAGGGATCCACTCTGTGTGTGAGCAAGCACATCTGTACCAGAAGCTGGCACAGGGCTGCAGCCTTGAGGGCTTGTATGCCCAAGTGCCAGCAAATGGGGAGGGATCCAGGGGCAGCTGCTGGGCAGACTGGGCATCTGAGCTCAGCTGCTGAGGGGATATCTACGCTGTGTACATAAATATATGTACTTATTCCCTCTAACAGACTTTCATCCCGACCAACCAGGGAGGTGAATGGGATTGGTGTTTTGTGTGTGCGAGTGCTGCGTGTGTTCGTCTGTGTGGCTGGCCATGTGCATGTGCCTACCTGCCCAGCCTTGCTGCCGCTTGGACCTGGGGGGCACAGAGCTATGGCAGCCTCACCTCTGCAGGGCTGCTGGATTGGGCAACTCCCTAACATGACCTGGTCAAGTTTCTGTGGTTGCCTTTTATTTGAGAAGGGCGAGATTAATTTTGCTTGGGAGCTTAAGGAATTAGACCACCTTTCCATATTTCAGGAGAATTTACTGGCTAAATCAACAGTTACTTATGGAAAGAGCCCAAGTTTATTTACAGCATTCATAGTTAGAAGCCTATGCAGGACCTCATTTTGCTCTCCTAAAAGTCATGAAATCTCACTGAAGTCATTGCAGCTACTCTGATATAGTTGTGAAAGGGGATAGGGTCGTGCTCTTGCTGGTGTGAGAAGACTGGTCTCTTCTTTCTGCCTTGTGCTGAGCCTTTTTCAGTGGCAGTGCAGGCAGAGAGCAGTCTTTGCTTCTCACAAGTGCAAAGTGCAACTGTGTACATATTTTGTGCAAAATGTTGGAGTGCTTTGGGCAGGAAACCAAAGTGGAACCTTTATGCCTCTGTACCTGCTGTATTTTAAAACCGTATCATGCATAGTTTTTTTTCCCAGAAGGATGCTTCCTACTGTACTGTCCCTGAATTAGTCTGTAGGTTAAATATGTCTTACAGAAGCTTTACATAGTCTGGAAAAACGGGTTCACTTTGCCCAAAGAGATGGAATCATTCATCTAGACATCAGAAAGCTCTTTGTGGAGCTAAAACAGGTATGTTATTATTTAATGTTTGTATATTAGTTTGCATAAACCTGAGGAGGCTTATTTTGGGGAATAGAAAGTACTTGCTAAACAGAGTATTTAACTTTTTATTCAGCAGCATTTTGGTCCATCTTTACTTTATCCTTTTTTATCTTTTTGATATTTCACTCAGAATTAATATGGAGCGTGAATTAAATCTGTTCCTTCACCCTGAGTTCATTTTTGAAGTGACAGTATATTCTTTAAATTTTAGCTGTTGATGAGCAATGCTTCCTATACGTGCAATGAAGTGCTTACAATGCTTGAGAAGACCCTGAGACTTCCACAGGGCTCAGATGACATTGACATTTTAGCAATATATATGTGCCCTGGCAATGGTTCAGAGGTGGCCTTCAAGCTAAGTAACCAGGTCCAGTCACTAAAGGAATCTGTAAGTACTTCTGAAACCTTTTCATGTTTAAAGCTTGCAGTGCTTTATATATGTTACTATTACGAAATGAAATAAATTAGCAGAGATTGTAACTTACTACTTAGTGTTTGCTGCTAATAAGTGGATGAGTAATTGAATATTTAAACTGATTAAAATGTGCTTGGGGACAAGGCACAAGTGGTCCTGTGGAGTCTCTTGGGTAGATGAGACATTTTAGACATGTGGCTTCCAGAAAAGCTGTGGCTTCCAGAAAAAAAATGAGAAAGTTGACAGACTGCTGATTTAATCTGTCTTATGTTGTATTTCAGTATCATCAATATTACAAATCTAAGAAGCAGGGCCAAGGTCTCAGGTGAGTGTCTCATTTACTGGTTTCAAATATTGCTTTCTTTACTGTGAAAGGTCCTGCTTCTGCAGCAAGTAACTCAAGGACAACAGAGCGTGCCAGATTCAATAATGGATGACCATTTCGGATGGCAAGAAACAGAAGAGCAGCTAACCAAAAATTATGCTTATTACTGTGAAATTAAGCAATTGCTGAGCACAGAGGCACCATCTGAGGAGGATGTCCGTTTCAGGTCTTGTCAGGAACAGCTGCTTTTCTCACTGTATGTATGCTGTATGCCTTCTAGTACTTAAAGATCTTGACTGGTACCAGCCTGGAGGAAAGTATTATAACCAGTAACTGAATAGATAAAAAGGCTAAAACCCTGGTTTTTGCTTTTGTTTACCACCAGTATTAACAATTTTCTCTGAGCACAAACAGGAGGGTAGAGGATGATTTTTCATTAGTAGTAGCAGTATTTAGGGGGGGTAGGGATGAAAATAGGCTGAGGATAGGCAGCTATCTAGGATTCCAAAAGCCTGTTCTCCCTTTTTGTCTTCTCACATCCAAGGATTTTCCGCCACTTCTCAGACTGCTTTCTGGTACGTACCTTGCTGGTACTGTGCTGCTCAGGATATTTGGAAACTTGGATCTGAAAGACTTCTAGGAGATGCAGGAAAACATTAAAGAAAGGGTAGTTAGAAAGGGGACTAGGAGGAATATTGCAGCCTCAGATTGCTTTCTGAACACATCTTGTGGTCACCGTTCCTCTATTTTGGCAGAAAAGACATTAATCTTTTTGTTAATTGTCATTTGCAATGACCTAGTAACTCTATTGATTTCAAGCTTTAATGATGTTAAATCAGAGTATATTAGAGACAAAGCCCTATATCAATAAAGTGCTTTAAAATAGGATAGGATTTTATTATTCTAGTTTAGCAATGTAAAGCATGAGCATAATGCATTTAAGTTGAAGTTGCATTTATACTGGATAGGTGTCCTAGGTCACAAATGTAAACATGTATAGAACACAACTATCTGTATTACTTATGCATGTGAGAAACTTGAAAAAAGAGTTTGCTATTGAAGCAGTAAAACTATTAGCTCTAAGAATTAGCTTCAAGAATCTGTCAGAAATTCCACAGACTGCATTGGCAGCAGGGATTATATTAATAACATCTTGGATGTTAGAAAATTTATGTAATTTTTCCTGTCCCTTTTGCTGTTAGTCAATGGCTGATTGCCTTCTGTCCCTCGGTGTTTATCAATGACTATGAAATCACCAGGAGGACTAGTTTTACATTCCTGAGCATCAAAAACACTTCTAAAGCTAAAAGGCCCCTGGGAATAGAGGAGTGTGTTGAAGTAACATTGAAGCCCAAGAAAAGCTGTGCACTATTTTTATGCAAGGTGTTTTGTTGTTGGTTTTTTTGATTGATTTTTTTTTTTTCCAGGGACAAAACAATGATTTTTTTTTTTTTTAATGTGAAGTTTTATTTCAGGACAAGAGGAAGCATCTCTCGATAATTGTTTTCAGTTCAAAATGCTATTTTTTGAACCAGAGCATTTTGTTGAAGGTTTCTTAAAAGGCTTTTTAGATTTATATTTTGTCTGCTCACAAATCTGTATAGTAGTCTAGTTCTGCTTAGACTGATGTAATAGCTATGTCACTGATTTCTTCAGCAAAGGACTCTGCTTTTAGCCTGTCTGCCTCAGTTCTGCCTTAGGTCAATAGGACTGTCTGTATGCAGAAAGTAGCAATAGAATTTAGTTAGAGATTTACAGAGAAATGGCATGTGTTCACAAGGTAATTTGACTTTGGAAGAAACCACTGTTTTAATCATGGTAGCCTTGTTTTATGTGTCGTTTCAGAATTAATAATACACTTCAAGATATTTTGTTTGAGGGAAACCTGTACTGGAAGGATTTAACAGCTTTTGTCAGTTGGAGATGCAAGGAAGCTCAAGGCTCAGGCTTCACAGCAGGTCAGTCAGGTGAGGAAACAGATACTGCACAGCACAGGCTTTATTCTGATGGTTCCCTGTCCATTTTAGGGTACGGTATTCCTCAGAAAGGGAAAAGGGGTGATTTTTAAATTTGTGAGCCTGTTCCTCTTTATGTTTCCATCAGCCTTAAGATTCACCAGCTGGATGAATCATTAGCAGCAGAAACTTATAACATACAGAGCCAGACTCTGGTAAATATCTGTGATTACAGTGCCAGCTGGAAAATTTTTGGATCGTCCATTTCTGTTGGGAAAATTGCAGCTGGTTGAACCTGGTTGGAGTCTCCACGTTTGCAACAGTATTCTGTCAGGAAGGTTCCTTAAGTCCAGGATATAAATGGAAGACCAGACTAGCTGGTCACCCAGTGGAGTTATTTCTAGGCTTGTTTCATATTGGTCAAGGACTTCATGCTTGATATTCTTCATCCCAGTTGCTCTGTGATATTCCAGATGTCCTGACCCATACACTACTATCTTTCTCGGAATACACTAGTTTTTTAATTATTTGGGGAAAACTTTGAAATTATGATTTATGCTGAGGAATGGGGGATCTTCCATTTCAGAGTTCTGTCTCATTAAACATTTGTGTTACTTTTCTCAACGTTTTAGTGGAGCAATGAAGCAGGGCACAATGTGGCTGACCAAAAACAGCTCTAAAAATTGACCTTGCGCAAAATGACCTGTTTGTTTCCTTTAAGTGTTCTCATCATGCTCCCAGTTCTATTTTTTTGACCACTTACACATCCATCTTCTGAAGATTTAGTTTATGGATAGATTTTTTTTTTTTAAACTATGTCCTGGGATTTGTGAGAGATCATGTTCTTGCTAAAGATCTGCTTTTCCAAACATATTTTTATTTTTTTTCTCTGCTCTTTTTCTCTGTAGAGCTAATCAGAAATGTGCTGAATACCTCGTCAGTAAGTGGGCAGCTATAGAATCTGTACAAAAATAAGCAGTACTTTTTAAATTGAAGAACTGTGTTAGTGAAACAAACTGTTCAAATGTGAACTGATTGTACAATTTTCTTAATCTGTTACAGCCCCAGATATTTTGGTTGTCTGGGCAGTAATAATGAATTTCACAGAACTGGTTTCTCTCTACTGAAATTCCAAGGAAAAAAGAAATATTAAAGTTCAATTCGGTGCTGAGTACAGCACTAAGAGCACTCTGGTATAATAAAACTGATTTTTATTTGAACTAGTTCTTCAGTTCATGTATAATTCGAAAGATATCTTCTATTTTTCCATTTTCCTTTAAGAAATTGTATTTGAATTTTTCTCTAAGGAATTATGTAAGGAAAATACAGGTGTGTCCTAAGTAGAGCTGGTATTTATTGATTCTGCAATTCTTTCCTTTAAATCATTCAGTAGAACTAACATAAAAGACTTTAATAAAAGTTGCATGTTTACTTCTTTTAAAATGTACGTGAAGTATTTCTCTTTCTGCACATGTTCAAGTCCTAAATTAGGTAGGACTAATTCAGGTTATTTCAGTGGGAACATGTTCTTAGTCATGTTCATAAAAAATTTTTGATCTGTCTCTAGAAGTTGAACTTTTTGTTTTTCTCTGCAGATGGACTAGAAGCATCTATATGTTCTAGACAAAAGCTGAGCTTGGAGACCATCCTAGGTCATTATTTAGCATTTCTACAAGACTTACCAGATTATTCCTCATTTATTTCCTCGGCCCGGTAAGGTTGAACTAGTCAACTTAATTTCTATGTCTAAGCATTTTCCAGAAATCCTTTACCCCGCCCCCACTTTGAACTTTTGTAACTCTGGAACGTAATTACCCTGCCTCTTTTCACCAAAGAACTGGTGTTTTTCAGTATTGCTGGAAAGAAATAGAATCCTGCAGAGAAGGTTACTGTCATTCAAAAACGTTAAAAAAAGACATCTCGATTTCTGGTGTGTTATAAGTAGTAACCAAAGTGGTGGGCTCCTCGTGATTCCAGTGTGTTGTTACAAGGGCTTCTTGTCACGAAGTCACTTGCATTATAGCCCTGCTAATGTCTAGATGAACACTGAAACAGAACCATTTAATCATCATGCTGTTTAAACAAAGAAAAAAATATCCCTCATGGAATAACTTTGGACTAATTGTTGAGTTCTGCCTCTGCTATGAAGTGCTATTAACTATCTACCATGCTATGCTGGTGATCACAGCTGTTAATAGATAAGAATACTTTCTACATTACGTTTCTGGACTCTGAACTTTATTTTTCGTTATGTTGCTATTTAGCTCTTTACTAAATCAGTCCCTTGTTTAACCTATCAGATGGATATAACCACATTCAATGCCATAAAAGATAATATATTATAAACGGCACAATTTGAATATTTCCTCCACTGTTAGACAGGTCATGTCATACTTTTCATTCAAACTGACCTTGACAGGGCCCTTAGAATCTTGATTAAAATAGGCTCTAGAAGAAAACCACTCCTGGTTTGGGTTTTCAAAATCTTGGATTTCCTGGGTATATACAGTAAAGACAAAATAGAAGCTAAGGAGTAGCATGCAAATTGATATCTTGAATGTTCAATCACTTTTCTTTTGTGCTTTTTCCCAACTTTGTTATAAAGATCAATGCAGACACATTTGCTAGGGTAAGTATTTGGATTTGGTTTTAAATGCTGTTTCTAAAGTATGCACTATTTTCTCTACACAGTAGTACTAACAAAATCACCTGACTTATTTGGGTTTTCTTTGCAGAGGTATTTCTCTGACTCCAGTAGGTCTAGGAAAACGATTCTATGTGGGGAATGCTTTTTAACTCAATGTTTTGTATCTTGGTTTCTCTCATGTAGAAGCCATTCCAGTAACCGACACAGAAATTCCCTCACAAAGCTATTTAATGGTGTGTGTGGTGTCCTGCTTTTTAACTTCTAAAATAAAACATATTTAATGAGAAGGTATTTTCAACCTGAGACCTTTGCATTGGAATCTCCTTTTTCCATGCGCCTCAATCTTGAGCAGTCTTACAGAGTGGTGGAAATGTCAGTTGGAGCATTAAAATTTTCACTGTGATTTCACGTTTTGGGTTTAGATACTAAAATAGCAGTGTTGAGATACCAGTCAGTTAACTGGAATGTTTTGGCTTCCAATAATTACGATAAAAAAAACAAACAAAATCTTCAGAGTTCACTAAAAATTAGAGGTTTTCATAGATTTTATTGATAAGTTCCTTTCTAGAAAATTATTAGTCTGTTGAACATAAAAGCTTTTCTCTTTTCAGCCACTGTTTGTGGCTTACGCTTGATTATGACTACTGATAAATGAACACTTCTTTAACCTAGCTGCCTGCATTCAGGTTTTGATTGGAATGTGGCTGTGAGTTTTCGGTGAATTTTGTCACATTTTTGAAAACCAAAGTGATTGTAATTTGTGATATTTCAGGCCTTGTGGTGATTAATTTGTGACTGCTATTTAAATCATGTTTGAACTTTCTTTCAGTTAAATAAATAAAACTCTATTCTAAAAATACAAAATATATATTTAAACAATTTTGCCTGCCTGCTAGGTAACAAACAAGAAATAAATCATGCCTAATTTTTCAGGATTTTGACATCTGTCAAAGAGTTTTTGAAGAAAGAAGAAAACTTACGGATTTCTGATGAAAAGGAATTGGATCATCTTTTTCATCTTGTAGAAGTCATAGAAGAAATTATAATCCTTCATTTATCAACTTCTTCAAACCAGTCTCTAATTGAAAATGTCTTGAATAATACAATTACATGGATGAAAAATTTTGCTGAGGGGAAGGAATCTGCCACCAATTTCTCACTTGCAGTTTTTGAACTCCATAATGAACTACTAAAATATTTCCAGCCTCTTCAGAGATTCTGGACAAAGGAGAAGACAGAAATTTTCTGGCATATAGTGAAAATTGTATTCCATGACCTTGATTCTAGGCTCTCTCAGTTGAGTCAAGTGGAAGAGGATGAGGTATTTGAGACCTTATCTAGAATTATATTTTCCATTACAGAAAATAAAATCCTTCGTAGAAGTGTGCTATCATTCCAAAATATCCTAACTGATTGGCCAGAGCTAAATATTGCTGCTTTGGACCATCTAAAACACTTCAGTGAAAACTTCCTAAGGAATCTCTATGAGGAGGGATCATTGACTGGTGATCATGCCAATGTGTCTTTCAGCACAATTCACGGAGTGAATAATGCCTCCTCTTTATCACTCTCAAATGCAACTTTTATATATAAAGTACAAGCATTAGGAGAACTTGTGCACGATTTCTTAAAAAATGTCCAAAAATTAAACACTACTAATGTGGCCTCACTTGATCCAGTACTTTTCTCTCTGTATCAGAATGATGATCTGGTCTTAAATATTGAGAGCAATAACACTCTGTTAACATTTCTTCATGAGACTTCAAAAGACATTTCATCTTTTCAAGTATGGCATGATTTCCAAGACGGGGACCAAGTTTTTGATATTCTCTCTGAAACTTGATCTTCTCTGGAACTTTACCAGTAAGTCTCTTTGTGAAAAGTTACAAATCATTTACAACTACACAGAGTTTCAGGCCCAGTCTCTTGCACAGAAAGGAAAAAAAGACATGCAAGTTGTGTTTAGCACTCTGAGCAGCCTTAAAACTTTATTCATAGATGAAGAGCTCCAAACAGCTGCCTTTTGTTATTTGGAACACTTTCTTTGTGTCTACCCAGAATGCCTGGTAAATAATGAGTGCACTGACTTTTATCTATCAAACATTACTTCTGTAGATCATTTAGCAGAAGTTTATGACTTGCTTCTCCTTCCATTGGACAGTGTTCTGTCTAATATAACAAATTTGGGAGATAAGGTAAGCGTGCCTTCTGCCTTGCACTGCACTGTTACATGGCTTCAAACCTGGACAGAGATTTTTGAAGAGGCATCCAAATTCTTAAATTTGAATTCAACCTTTTTTATCTATCTAAGTAATGATTTGTCAAATCTCTCTGAAAGTCTTTTAAATGCAACTCATGACGAACTGTGCAATAATACAGCTATGGTTATAACTGAAGCTACAACAGCAGCAATGAATCTATTAAAAATCATACTTGAAGGAGGTGGTGATTTAAATGACTGGAAAGAATTTGAATCTTTCCTTGCTAATCTTCAAAGTGTATTTAACAATGCAGTTGATGTCACAAGCTCACTTAAAGGTTACAGTTTAGAAAGTGTTTTAGAAATGATGGGAGTCATCATAACAGGATTGCAGAAACCTATACTGAAGGTTGTGAATGAAGAGTTTTTGAATTCTTGGCTTGATACTTTCATCTCAGAAGGACCCGAGGGAGAAGATAGGGGTTTATTTTCCATTGGAAATTCCCTTTCTACTATTCTCAAGCTGTCCCAAAAGGAACTTGGAATTATTCTCACAGAGATGAAAGACAGAACTGCTTTCTTTAAAAGTGTACCTCAAGGCAAATATATGGTTTGTATCAGCATTTTCCAGAATATTACAAAACTAATGTTGGACAATACTTTGAAAGACATAAGCCATCCACAAAAAAATTTTTCATCTCATCTTAATTCCTTTCTAAACTTTTATAGTACAGTGGATGAAGTAGAGGATTGTAACAGATGGATAAGGGGATTAAGTAATCTCAGTGAAAAGTACAAGTCACCTTCCCACCTTGAAAGTGCCAAACATATTTTATTTCTACTGAAATCACTGGGAAACACTGAGACAGATTCTAAGCTAATGAATGTGGTGGACTTTGTTGGTTTGATTTTTAGTTTGGTACTCCCTGAATGCTCCCTAACTAGTTCTGATGTGATTTGTGTAAATGCTTATTTCAATATTATAGCAAAAAATTTAAAATTTATTCTTCCTGGATTTTATGTAAAAGAATACATTAGTGTGCCTGAATTAATTTTTACACTTTTAAATAACTCTGGGGGGCAAATGGTTGTCAATGATTTAGTGGGGCATTTACCATATACCTCAAATAAGACCCATTTTAGTCGGTCAGTCCATGGGTTCAACAGGACTTCAAGGATGCTCCTTAATCCTTTTCACCATGTTCAGCTTTCGTCAGTAGAACTTTTGGCAGAAATTCAAACATTTCTGAAAAATAAAACTTCAAAAATCCAAGAAAACATCTCCTCTCCTTTGGATACAGAGATTGAACCTTTCTTGCATGAGAAAAATATCAGTTTGTTGATGGAGTTCTTTCAATATTTGATTCATAAACTTGACTCAAACTTGCAGGGTGAACACAAAACATTTCTCCAGAAACTGATAGAAACAGCAGCTTTGAATATTGAACTGGTAAGGAAGGCAATTATAATTTTCAAGTCTACTTTCACTGGCTTTCCATTAACTGATGATAAAGAGTTTCTAAAGAATATAGTATCCTTGGTGCAAAATGTGAGGGACATGGATGTTGAGTTCTTGATAAGTCAATTCAAACAAGTCCAGAGGAGCCTAGATAATTTCTTTAAAAATATCAAACCTTTGTATACTGAGAACTCTGAGTTAGGAATGCTAACAGACTGGTGGGATGCCTTCAAGAACAACTCCTGTAATTGGAACCTGACTGGCTTATGGGAAATAACTCTTTGAACAAGATGAGCTCTATGCTGTAGAAGAGATCTTCCAACTCCTCCTCAATGTCATTAGCCTTACAGAAAGATTAGCTCATGGAAACATCATGGAAGCACTAACTGAAGTATACTCTTTCCTACTCACTCAGGAAGCAAAAATGCCAGTGTTTACGGAAGAAGAGTTCTCTAATCAAGTAGAAAGTCTTCTAATGTTACTGCACACACTGACAGACATGTCTGGTGGACCAGCAGGGGTCCCAGTGTGTTCTTCCGCAGCATTGTGCTGGACTCTTACAACAGCAACACCTCAGAATCATCCCGCTTTTAAACCTTGTGACTTTGCGCGTAGCAATTCTACTCTTATTTACAATGCAGTCATTGAAGTCATTAAGGATCTGAAACTCATCACTCTGGAGGACAGTTCCTCATGCACTGTGGAAGACTTTCAGATTGATATCACTCGCAATCTGACTTGCTTTTTTCATCAGATCAAAGAATGGAACTCTATTCTTCTAAACTTCTCTGAGCTCCACCATGTAAATGGCTCTGTTCTCAAAAAGCTGCTAGATTTTTGGAATGAACTATTCCTCTACATTGAGCCTCTGCAGGTGAATAATACGTACTCAATCAATTGTTCCTCTACACCGAAGAGACAAGCAGCTTTACGAATTGTAGAAACACTGGGCAGTATGCCAGCGGCAGAAATGGAGATGGCCAAAGGTGTTCTTGAACAGCTGGATGATCTTTATGGTGGTCTAAGTGGGAACACACATTCAGGAACATCACTTATAAAGACTGTTCTTACTGATGTTAAGAATATGACCAGGGAAGTCGCTGGGCTCCTGAATACAGAAGCTGTCCTTTCTTTTCTTTCTGTAATTCAGCCTTTAATGGTGCTGTCTTCTTTTGGAAACCAGACACGCTCAATGCTTATGCTATTATCAGATTTAAATGGAAGCAGTAATATATCTGATATCTTTGAGAACTTCTGGTTTCCTGTAGTCACAAGCATAGAAGACCTATTTGTGAATTTTAATGTTAGAAACTTACTTGCGGTGATAGACCAAGAGTTTCAATTACTAAGTTTAGCTACTGGACAGTCCTCTTCAATGGCTCTTGATGTTTTAATACAGCATTTTAATACATCATCTGTAGATGCTATGTTAAGAAATTTTGAAGACATACAAGAGATTTTGAATAGATTTCTATGCGAGTGTAACAGTAAAAATAATTTTGAAATAATGCATGCTCTAATTCTCCTTATGACTAATGAAAATTTATCGAATGACCTACTGCTCATCGTCAAAGACATTACTGACTTTCTGGAACTATTCCAAAATATGTCTAAGGAAGATTATTCTGGTATATTGCTTGATGATGGTCATCTTAGCAGAGAAAAATTGAAAAATATTCATACCGCTGATTCAGTTTTCCTAAACAGTCTCCTTTATGTAATTGCTGATATTGCTGTTATAGAAGAAGCTCTGCATACACAGAATATTTAGCTTCAGGCAGCTGACTTCATTGATTCATTTTTTGATAATGCACAATATAGTGAAGTTTCTACTCAGTCCCTAAACAGAACTCTGGAGATCATGCAAGAGATCTTGCAGATGATATTTCAGTCTACCACAGAACATGACAGGAAGAAAATAAGCTTCTTACTAAAGGATTTGCATGAGGCTATAATGGCAGAAATGAGGTAAGTATTTTCTTTTTACTAATTTTGATGGTGTGCTGACCATGACAGAAGGGGTCTTTGTTTGTAAACAGCTCAATCAAAATTTTTATTAAGTTAATTACTGTTTCATTTCAGATTTGTGCCTTTGAGTAAAATAATATTTTATACCAACTTATATTGTTCAGATCAGCCATATATGGCATCACGTTATATTGCATGGGCCGGGTTATTGATGTGTTAGTCATCTGTATTGATACTTGAGGTGGTTTCTTAGGAATTCTTATGCAACTAAATATTTGAAGATATTAGTCTTTTAAAATCCTTGCAGGATTGAACAATGAACCCACAGTTATTGGTGGACAACAGTTGTTATGACTATGGAGTTAAATATTAAAGAATGATTGGGACTAATGTTTTATGGTGGGTTTTTTTTTTGCTTTCTGTATTCAAGTGAGGATATATTGTATTTGAATGCCTTCAACTCAAATTTGCTGATGACTTATGCAAACAAGATGACCCTTTTGGGGCTATGGTTATAGTGTTAAATTGTTCAGTTTAACAAATACAGTTGCTGAAGGAATCTTGAGCCCAAGATGGTTTTTGCCAGATAAATTAAATGTAATCCAGCAGCAGAGGAAATTCTGCTTCAGGAAAATGTTTACTAACAACTTATTTAGTAAAACCACTGCTGGACTGGAGTTGCTGCATTTAAATAATACTTACTGAATGAATCCCACAGGATGGCTGCTCCAAACAGCTCTAGGATCTTTTGCTGGTGAAGCTACTGATCCTACTGACAGACCAGCTAGAAAATGGTATTATAAGGTTGATGCATGATTCTGACATGGCATTTAGACCTTTATGATTTATTTTATGCAGATATGTCAAACCAGTGCTCAGCAGGGCCAGGCATTAACCACGTCTTTTGAAAAATCAAAAGCAAATACTAGAAAAGTGGTTTATTTTCCATAAATGCTGATTATAAGAGATTTTGAGTATTCTTCTTTTTGCTGTCAAGTCAGTATATGCTGTGGGCTCTCAGTATTTCTGACACCATTATGATTTTGTCTTATTTTGCTCAGGTACTTTCTATCACTCACAGAATCACAGAATCACAGAATAGTAGGGGTTGGAAGAGACCTCTGTGGCTCATCTAGCCCAAACCTCCTTCTGAAGCC